ATGTAAGGTTATATCTAAGTATATGTTAATAAAAACCAGAGGCATGACCTCACCTTAAATATTAAAAAAAAAAAAAAAAAATTTTTGAATATTCAATATTAGTTGCCTTAATTATCATTTTTCTGATTAAAAAAATTTAAAAAGACTAGATATAAAATAGCCACAACCTACTTTAATATTTGCTCCTAGCAGACCTAAATATTTTTAAAATCTTATGGAATTTAAGTAATAAAAAACTATTATTTGCATATTAATATTATGTATATTAGTAATAGCATTATACTCAGTATATTCCACATCAAAATGAATAATTTTTTGAGTTCCTTTTGGTTTATAGTTAATAACAACAAATAATATCCCTGTAAAAAAAATTGAGCTTAACTTTTTCATAACTTCTCCATATATGAATTTCAAATATTTTCTGTTTTGATTATTAAACAATAATATCTGTGTTTGTTCAATAAATGTTGCATATTTACAGAATATTTATGGAATAAAATAATGAAAATAATATAAAAATTTTATTAAATCTATATAATAATAAAGTAAAAATTCTACTAATTATGGAAATTAATTAGAGAACTGCCTCAAATTTATATAATAATAAAAGATAAATTTATAGAAAATTTCATTATACAATATAATATGAATAATTTACTGAAATAATATAAAAATAGCATAGAATTAATATGAAAAATTTACTGAATTTTTATAATAATTTATATAGAAAAAGCTGAAATAAATTTGAAAATGTTATAGAAATAAAAACAATATATGTTAAATAAATATGAAAGCATTACTAAACTTCTAAAAATTAAAAGCTAGAATTTTTATTGTCATAAAAATAGTATACAAGTTATATTTACGAATAAAAGCTAGAACTTTTATTTGCATTATTATATATGCATATGTAATATATGCAACCTTTTGAACAAATCTAATCCTTCTTTTTAATTCTTTATCTTTTTACTGAATCTTGCTTTATACAAAGAAGTTTTTTTTGCCTTTTGTTCTCTTTTCCTTTTTTTAGCTATATAAAAATAAATTAAATATTATAGTATAAAGATAAAAAAAAAAACTATATTTTTGTGTGATAATACTCAATAGTGTTATTTAAAATAAAGACTTGAATTAAGCTTAATTCAGGTTATAATCCAAAATAACACTACTGTAATAATTTCATAAAAATATTGTTATATAATCATTTTATTAAGTACCAGAATCTTGGCCGTCATCTTCAACCATTTTCGATACTATTCCAATATTCTTAAGTTTTTAAACAGAAAAACGAAAACTGTTTCTTAGTGATGATGATGTGTTATTCTCCAAGATTACAGTAATTTGTTCTATATTTAATAAAAGAACAAATATATATATATTGTGATATTACTTGTAGGTCTGAAGTTTTATATCTTACTATTGTTTTCAAGATTCCGAATATTTTGATGATTTTTAATATTTGTACTATGCAGTCGCTTGGGGGTCGAATTTCTTTTTTTAAACTTATTTTTCATGCAAGTTGATGTATTTTCTTGACTAATATCAGCACTGATTGCAGTCATTAAGGCATCAGGTTCAAGTACGCTCTTATCTGTGTTATCTTGGCTATCTTCTGAAATTACAGTACTTTGTTCTATATTTGATAAAAGATCGAATATTTTTTTTTTAATAATATTAATTGCAAATCTTAAGTTTTATATCTTACCATCATTTGTGAGATTTATAGCATTTTTCTGATAACCGTTAACTTTAATATTTGTACTATGTGGTTGCATGGAGGCCAAATTTTTCAAATAATTGTTAACTTTAATATTTGTACTCAGCCATATTGGGGCTAAATTTCTTTTTTTTTGACTTATTTTTCATATGGATTAATATATTTTCTTAACCAATATCAGCACTGCTTGCAATTATTAAGGCACCAGGTTCAAGTATGCTCTCATCTGTATTATATTGGTTGTCTTCCAAAATTACAGTACTCTGTTCTATATTTGATATAAAACCAAATATTTTTTTTAGTAGTATTAATTGCAAGTCTGAAGTTTTATATCTTATCAACATTTTCAAAATTTTCAACATTTTTCTAATAATCGTTAACTTTAATATTTGTACTATATTCTTTAACGTTAACCTTAATATTTGTACTATGTCATTAACAATATTTATACTATGATCATTAACTTTAATATTTG